TTGTGATTATCCAACTTTTCTAAGTAATTACCACTTCAGAAAATAAATGTTGAAGAACAAATTTAATAAAAATGTAGATCAGGACCATACTACATCTACATAATCATTACATGTTTTATAAACTCTCCATCTCCATCTTATTCCACTTGTTCATAGTCGGGTCGTGGAGGCAACGGGTCCAGGAGAGGAACCCAGATATCCCTCTCCCCAGCGACACTTTATAGCTTGTCCTGGGGGCCCCCAAGGTGTTCCCAGGCCAAAGAAGATACATAATCCCTCCAGCAAGTCCAGAAAAGATTTGGCAAAATTTTCAAGTGTGCAACCTACATTCTCAGCTAACCATATACATGTTCTTTACAAATGGTATACGATTTATTTCCAAGAAGCATTATTTCAAAAAATAAATAATCTACCAAACACACATTTCCTTACCTTTTTGTGCTAAGTTGATAACCTGCAAATGTAGTCCACATTACTGCAAGTAGTGTCACATTTACATAAAATATTGAACTATTTTTAGACCTCCTTGTTGAGGTGTGGTGTGACTCACCTACAGCTTCAGGCAAAACAAAAGAAAGCAGTGCTCTTTCCTGCAGGGTAAAATACTTTGGTCATCCCTTGTCTTTTTGGTTCTCAGGAGTGAAGTTGAGCAGCCTGCTGGGTAAAAAAGGCAGCCTGGACAAGCTGCAGAGTTACTGGGATGTGGGCTTCTTCCTGGGTGCCAGCATTCTGGCCTGTGATAACAGCAGGGTCATCCAGGCTTCTGAGAAGCTCTTCAAGCTCAAAGCCCCCATCTGGTAAGAATGAGACCAGTCTTTCATTCATCAACATGCCAAAAAACACATTTTGGACTCACTCCATCACTGACTGTGCCCGTGTGATCTGAAGTGTGCTTGAAGCTGCAGCAGACATCTGTGGTCATTATGCAAGAATTCACCACTTCACGATTAAAGCAGAAATACTACACAGAAGTGTGTTTGCTCATTTTGGACACAGTACACAACCAGGAAGTGTCTGTCTTTTTGAAATTAGTGTGCAAATAACTGCTTTTTCTTCAGCTTGACTTGAATAAAATGAGTTGCAAATTTGGATTTATTCTTCTGGATGTTGGCAAGATGTGAAAATGAACCAGATTTCATTTTATGACATTTTAAATGTAAAATAAATGTATCTGATTTCAAGATAAAAAATGCTAACTGGTCCAAAGGATCTATTCAATCTGTGTTGTGCAGAAGAATTATAATCTGTCTGTTTATGGGGCACCAAATGTGAAATAAAATGGGGTGGGGGGGTGTCACAACTACATTTTCATTATTTAGCTCACTTTCTGGATGTAAATTAAAAAAATGACTAACATTTTAATATTTAGCTCTCTGTTCTTAAATTTTGTTTCTTTTTACTAAATGTTAAATTTAAATATTTAAAGTACTATCTGAAGTTAAACACTAAATCAAAATGTGAATGTTAAGTCTCAAATGTTGAAGCTAAATGATGAAGCTAACATTGAAGGATTTTGGAATTAAACACAGCCTTTGCCATTGGTGCTTGACTTTTGTTGTGACAAAAGCTAATGCCCCTAATGCTGCTGAAGAGAACATTTAGAATTTAAATTTAAAATGTGTTCATTAAAAACAATGTGAACAGTACCTGCGGTCCAGCAGTTTGAAGTTCAGCCCTGACATCGGCCACAACCCAAAGTTTGATGTCTTGTAGGGAAGTGTAAGCAGTGTTAGCAGCGTTAGTTTGCTTTCATCTCAGGATGATGATGATGTCAAAACAAAAGCTGAGCGCAAACAGCAAAGGCTAAGTTTCATTCAGAAATACTTAAATGTAAACTTAAACATTTAGTCACATTTATATTTAACTTTTATATTTAGATTTAGGATTTAACATTAAGACAAAACATTTTAATTTAACATTTAGTAAAAATTATCAAAATGTGCTAGTGACATTTTTTACCATTTTATTTTACACTTGACACCTCATAGC